GTTAGAGCGCAGCATCAGCATGCTCGCCCCGCTGCTGGTGCCACATTAAAAACAGTTTTTACTCTTTGTGTTGGGATGCGTCCTTTCGTCGACACGGCATCCCACATCTGGTGACCCGGAAAACGAACTAATCGCGCCGCCATGACTGACCCCGAAATCCATGTGACTCTTAGCCAGCAAGTGCAACAACATCATACTAGCAACACCTCCGCAAATCTGGCCGTCCCTACCAACTTCGGCGAAAACGCCAGAGCTTCTGCAAACAGAATGCCACACGTTGCTCTATCCGGTGCCTGGCGTGTCGCTGTCGAGTGCAGCGCTCTTTTCTGTCCTTGTTTTTTCGCTTCCGTAGTCACGGAGTAACTACTTCTAGATTGCGATGTTCCTTCATTCAGTTATGTCCTACCAACTTGCCCAAGTTTTCAAGCTTCATCCCGCCATTTTGGCCGGACTCCCCGAGGTATGATTGACCCAAGTAGAGGCCCAGGTCTTCTAGGCAGCCACTACTCGCGACCTGGCCTGCTGCAATTACGTCGTCGCCAACCTGGACGCCGGCTGCGCCAATAAGGTTCGGCATCAATAAGGTTCGGCTTATCAACCCACCAGCGGCCAACCTTTATGAAAGCCTCAAGACCGCAGTGATACATCGCCTGTCACCCTCTGATTGACAAAACGTGCGGCAACTTCTGACCGCCGAGCTTCCTGAGCGCGAACCTTCGCAGTCCCTTCGTCACATGCGTGCTCTCACACGCAGCCTGAAATTCCGGCATTTTTTCCTGCGAGTACTCCGGCATCAACAACTTCCACCAGATGTCCAGGCGATTGCGCAGGCTAAACTTAGGCTGTCTCTCGATGAACTTACCGAGCTCGCCGATTGCATCATCGAGGTCTTTTGGCTGCAGTCGTCGCCCACCAATCAGGCTGTCACCGTTCAGGTGAATACCACGGAGCTTGCGCACCTCACGGACGATATCGATCAACCACTCAGCTTCATTTATCAACGCATCGGCGAGCGCCTTCCAACGATACCAGTTGAAAAGCCTTGACCGTAACAGCTCCTCATCACGGCAGCCTACTGAGGACGACCGGTGTTACTACCATCAACAGTTCATCACAGAGCCCGACAACGTCGACCACCCTGCTCCGCCAACGAAAAATGCCAACGTCAACTGGTGGAGATCACCGCAAGGTGGCAACCTGGAGACCACCGCATTTCCGTCACTGATCAATTCGCGAAACAGGGTTTTCTTATCGATAGCATTTCTGACATCTGCTGCCACCCACGAGCCAATCTTCAAGGCCCTCGCCCACCGACATCTTTCGAACTCAGTGCGGCGAACTGGTCCATAATCGAGACGTGTGGCTCGCTGCGCCTGCACATCCAGCTCGGGAGCTTACACCGCGACCTTCATTGGAATTTTGTTGGCGCCGACGTCGCTGAACAAATATTCTGCTCGAAATGTTTGGCTCTTTATAATCTTCTCTAGGACTGTCGTTTCTCATCGATGTGAACACTGAACATTTTTTGCCTGGGCAGCGAACGACCATGCACCGATCAACCAAGCACCAAAAGGCTCAGTGTCGAAAGTAATTCGCCGTACCACGCCATCCTCACCTAATATCACGGTTTAACGCGTCCAAGCAGGCGGCAACGTCAAGTGCAGCACACCACCGTTCACTACATCGAGACCACTCCAGGCCCCTAAGACCTTCACCGTTTCCTCGGCATGCTGAACTTTTATAGACGTTTTTTTTACTGCACGCCGCCGATACCAGGCACCTCTTTATGATGCCTTACCTGGTCTACGAGGAGACCAATCCGCCACGTACACATCGACTTTGGTGCAATTTTTCGAGGAATGCGAGGCAGCTATATGCAGTTTTACGCTCCTCGCCCATTCCTTGCCAGAAGCTGCCATTTGGCTCTTTGCGGAAGCATCTAGCTTCGCCATCGACGCCGCTTTCTTGCAATGTGTTGACAACACCTGGCATGCATCGTTTTTTTTTTTTCGAAAAAAACTTGCAACTCCATAAACGACCCTTTACACCACCAGTTCCACTAACAAAACCATGACCACCACCCTGTCAAGTTTGCCAGCTTGCAACAGAGAACCTCTGGGGATATACGAAGCAGTGCAACACTTTCACTATATTCTCGAAGCAAAGAACTGCATCATCTACACAGACCACATGCCTCTTACCTACGCTTTGTCTCAACGTCGCGACAAACTCCCGCCTGTTCAGCTGAACCAACTCTTGTTCATCACGCAGATCACCACCGATATCCAACATGTCATCGGGAAACACAACGTGATCGCCGATGCGCTTCCACGTGTACCCGCCATAAGCTCGGTGCAGTTAACAGCAGGCATCCTCGCCGAGGCTCAGACGGCGTACGCCTACCTGGAGGAACTTCTCAAGGGCACGTCCTCACTTCAGCTACAAGAACTCCCCCATTCCAGAGTCCGCAACCACAATCTGCTGCTACACGTTGGCGGCGCGAAGTAGGCCCTATGTGTCGGGGCCACATCGCCTTGGTATCTTCAATCAGCTTCACAACCTCAGTCATCTTGGTATACGCGCCTCTACACGCCTCGTGGCTGACCGCTATATCTGGCCCTTCATGCAGTGGGATCGTCGCACTTGGGCGCGCTTCTGAATTCACTGTTAGCGTACTAAAATCATTACGCACGTCACGTCCTCACTCTGAACATTCTCTCATCGCTCTGGTCGGTTCGAGCACGTCCATTTTGACATCATAGGATCCTTTTCCTCGGTTATACCCTATCGCTACAACCTATCACACAAACCTGCCCAGCCTTCATCTCGTCACTGGTTAGTTCGCTACAACACGGTTCCGATAAGGGACAGTGCCACCGCAGCTTCACTGGAGGCTTACGTCATGAATGGTTGCTATAAAACCCAAGCTGCCAAGCTCGATTGCCTCTTCTGTTTCGTTAACCGTCTGATTGATTTGTGGGGTTTAACGTCCCAAAACCACCATATGATTATGAGAGACGCCGTAGTGGAGGGCTCCGCAAATTTTGACCACCTGGGGTTCTTTAACGTGCACCCAAATCTGAGTACACGGGCCTACAACATTTCCGCCTCCATCGGAAATGCAGCCGCCACAGCCGGGATTTGATCCCGCGACCTGCGGGTCAGCAGCCGAGTACCTTAGCCACTAGACCACCGTGGCGGGGCATTCGTTAACCGTGTGAGCGTAGCATTGTATTAGTCGCCCCGCTGCTGCTGCCACGTTAATTAGCAGTTGTTACGTTTTACGTAGGGATACGTCTTTCTGCCGACACGGCGTCGAACACTGACTAAGGTTATGTGAGACTTGGGCGTGAAGTGAAGCTCTTTGAGTGACCATCATCAAATACATTTCAAAATAAATAATATACACACGCCCGAACCGATTTGTCCATACTATATTGCACCTATGGTCTCGTCACTCAGGAGCATTTGTGTTTCGTTCTACAAAACACTCATCACTTCATAGGCACTAATAATTGTCCTACAACCGGTTGACTGTCAAGATATTACAGCGGCAGTACGCTGTAAGGCTCCCAACAAGGACATTATAAGGGCCAATGGAAGGTCATATTTATGTGGCACTGAAAATAGCATGTCCTCACTGCTGTGTAGCCTCCGTAAATTTAACACAGCACTGTTTGCTTTCAGTTGTGAACTATCTCTTGGACCAGTTCAAAGCGGCAAGTGACGACGACACTCCTCAATACCTCATCCACGTAATAGACGTGCCCGAATATCTGGACAACGTCGTTACCACTGGTGAGTTTGTCAAAAAAGTTATCCTGTACTTCGGGAAACGAGTATGGCATACATCAGTGAGGATGTCATGTAATCCAAGCGCCAGAACGCTATTGGAAGCGAGGTCGCACTTTTTTTTTCCAATAAGTCAAACCGCTTGCAACAAACTGCTTTTCATAACAGGGACAACATCGATTTTTACTTTCTTGCTGCACTGTTTTCCTGTACTGTTTTGCTGTCTTTTTGATCAGGTGATAAGCGAATGAACTGACTCGTCAAGGGGCTAACTAACAACAGATGTTTTTCTCAATATAGCAAAATACCGCATGTAAAGAACAAACGAGCTACAATATAACGTCACAAGGCTATCTAGCTACGCAACCGGATATTCTGTTGATGCTTGTTTTCTCTGCGTTCTATGTACTGTAATATTTACCATAAAAAGTTCGTCCCAAGACGGCGCATATGATGGTTTTGTTCTTTCAGTACACACTGTTTTGCGATAGTGTTCTGCAGTCGCCCAAAGCTTTAACTAGTGTTCGCCAGTGGCGACATTTCTGTGCGTCAGTACCATGTGACAGAGGCACGTTGCAAACAGTGATATAGGATCAGCGCATGCTCACAAATTGCACTCAGCAGGGTCGGTTGTCTGCTTGGCAGTTTTCTAAGGGCGTCAACCTATATTAGCGCACTTCAGACGAACCATGTTCACCGTTTTAGCTCAAGAGTGGAGGCATGTGGCATACCATCAGATTCCATTGGCGTACCTCATGTTCTATTTCGTTGATTCTTGGGGTAACGATCATCCTCAGAACATAAAACACGTGCGGAATCATTCACCTACTCGTGTTGCCTGTTTGTCTGAATTGCGCTAGTGGGGATTGGCTTCCTCAAAAACGGCTTTTGCTGGCTGACAAATGGCTAATTTTAGTTATTGCTTGCTAATATTACCAAAACAGTGCTTATTAGTTGGTATTGTTGGCTAAAGGCGGGTGTCTGGAGTTCTAGTACTAAAATCGTCTTTCAATTTAGGTCGGAAAATTGAGTTGACTGCAGCTGTTTTAAGGATATAAGCCGTGCCTTTGGAATCAGCATGCCTTTTCGCCTTGTAGCTTTCTATCTCTTCTGCATTGCCTAGGTTCGATTAATGACATCGTTTTCTCCTACAATTTGTAGAGCAGTGGGAGGCTATGGTTCTACGTCACAGCGACCAAGCTTATCGTATGGACGACCAGCTGGCGCTGGAGCCGCTTGTAGCCAGGCTTACGGTGTTCCTTCTCACCGAACTCGGGAGCGTCGACTTGATGCGCCTGATATCATGGAGCGTGTTGCGCCAGCTCGCACCTTACGCCGACGGCGAGGCCAACGGAGGAACGCTGAATGAGATACGCGACGTTTGTTACGACGATGTTGCGGAAGTGCTTGAGCCGGCGCTCACGTCCAAGTACATTTACAAGAGTGAGCACACCTCCCATTGTTTCGCATGCGCAATCTCTTCAGACTGCATGAAGGGAACCGCATGATGAGATAGGAAAGAGCGCGCAACTCAAGCGCTACTTTGTATAGCTCTTGTTGTCTAAGAAAAACTGATATTAGAGGAATAATTCAACTCATTTCTGTGGAAACGTATGAAACGACATAGTACTACGTGTGGTCCTCCGCTGTGGTTTAATGGTTATGGTGTGCGCTGGCTGACCACCAAGACGCGGGCTCGGTCACGTTCGTGGCAGTAGCGTTTAGATGGAGGCTCATCGCTAGAGGCCCGTGTATTGTGCAATGTCAGATGGTTGAAGTTTCCGGAACACTCCACCGAGGAGTGCCTCATAAGCATATAGTGGTTTGGGGACGTAAAAGGTGAGAAACAAAAGTACATTGTGCATGCATTGCACATTGGAGCTCAGTCATAGCGACGGAGATGCACATTGTTGCTTTCTTTCCTTACTAGTGTAACGTCTTTGGTTTTAGGAAGGTTTAGCGAGCGTTGGGCCGCAGCGCCATGAATTACAGTGAACTAGTACATACCATGAACTCGAGGTGGTTGAATGCGGGAGGTAGACACGAAGCGCAAGCCGTAAGGAAGTGTGCGTGTGCCACCTCTCGCTTAGTCCTTGGAATGTCCGCTGGATGGCGGTGCTTCTATGTGTGGAATATATGATGAAAAGATGTGAGACGGTGGTACTTGGAGTGTCGACTGGATGGACGAACGGACACAGACAGATGCATGGACGGACGCATGGATGGCTGCACGGACAGATGGACGCAGGGGCGGATGCATGGACGAACGTAGGGACGGACGCACGGATGGACGTGCGGACGCATGAACAGACGCACGCTCGGACGGGCGGATGGACGCATGGATGGACGGAAGCAAGAACAAATGAACGGGTGGATGCTTCGCCCCACTCTCCATCATTCACCCCGTGGATGTGCTGCAACTTTTTTTGTTTATTTTTTAACTTGTTTTTTTGATTTGCCACTACTAGATGGCTCCTGGGAACAGACAACGCGTATAAGTATTAGCTTTTGCCCAAATTCTGCACTTGCTCCTCTGTGTTGGCTGTTCTTTTGTCCTGGTGTTGTTCACACAGCTAGTATGAACCACTGTCCACTCATACAGCTGTCAGTTCCTCGCCATGAATTATCAGTTTTAAACTGCCATTTGCAGAATAAGTTTACTGAAAGCATAGAAATGTAGCGACCATTTGAGATTCACTGTATAATATTTTTTAAACTCAAGTGTGCTGTTACGCAACTAATCAACTATGTCATTGTTTTCTTGGAAAACTGTCTGCTTCTTATTTGTTTAGGGAAAACTGCTACTGTTACTTGTTTTCACTATGTTAATATGCTTTCTCACCAACAGCCTTATTTTTGTCTGTATAGTTACAACCTGTACTGTTATTTTTCAGCTAGTATTTTTTTTTCGGAAAAAAAAACATTTGAATTGTGTTTTTTTCTTCAAATGTACCACATCCCTCTATAATGCCTCTGGCCCTAAGGGGAGTTCTAAATAAATAAATAAATAAATAAATAAACCGCACCCCAACTCCCCAATTTCGTGTTGATCCTTATAAAATTTTATATAGAACGGGTCAGTCGCAACGTAATTCTGATCTTAAACTTGGCGCACATTTGCGGCAATTCCTTTATATTGCTATCATCTAAATTTATACTTGCTAAGTTTGAAATTTTTGTCTGAACATTTTTTTTTAGTGAAACGCACATGGACTGTGCTTCTCTAAAAATACTTGTTAAACGTGTAGCCCTGTAAACACCGATAACTCTATAGTCTATAGGCAGTTAATGTTACGCCATCGAAAGTGTTTACCGCTATTGGAACGTAACGAAACGTAGCCCCAAATCTATGACGATCGAGTGACTGGTTATCGTGAATCACGCAAACTTTCCAAAATTAATGAGTGCTCTCAAGCAGGCAGCTTTCCAGAAGCTGCACCAGCGCATAGTCAATGAACAAACACTTCCGACGTCATTCCAAAGAGTTAGCTAGCGTTCTTCTCGAACACTTCTGAAGTATATAGCTGAACAATAAGCAAGATCCCAGCCACAACCAGCGACATCAATTCAATGAATGACACCTTTATTGTAGTCTCTTTTCGTTTTCCTGTTGCCTTCCTGTCTGTCCTTGTTGCAAAGAATGCATAATCACGAAAGAGGGCAGGATAGTGCGTCTTTTCTGTGCGATATCGAATGACCTTCCGTGAGCAATCGCATGTGCGCATGTTTTGCCGTATGGCTGGTACAATAAATTGCATTTTTTAGTGCCAGCGTACCAGTCCATCATGTATTTATGACCTACAGCACGCACGTCTATCTGTCGGTATATGTGTTGGTGTTTTTATATTTAGTAGTAATATTTAGACTTTACATCCAAAAACCACGATATCATTATGAGAAACTCCGCAGTGGAGAGCTCGGGCAATTTCGACCACCTGTGGGTTCATTAACGCGCACCTAAATAAAAAACATGGGCCTACATCGTTTTCGCTTCCATCGAAAATGCGGCTGCCACGGCCTGGGATTCGATCCCGTGACCTGCAGGTGGGCAGTGAAGCTCCAAACCACCTGGCCAACACGATGGGTGTTTCTGTGATTTCGTCATCTTACTGACGGGTGCGCCCTTCGCCGCCACTAACGCAGGGCTCACACCCGACGTGCTTCGAGAGGCGACGTACATGGGTTACCGCGTGCGCCACAGCATCATGAAAACCGTCGGCGAGTCCAGCTGGCTGCCTCCTGACGCCAGGAATGCGGCGCGCAGAAAGGCCGAAGCCATGAGACTGATCATCGCGTTCCCGTTCAACCTGACGCGTCTGTCAGCGCTGGAGCGCCTTTACGCCGATTTGCCGGACGTTCCACTGACAAGTATGTCTTGCTTTATCGCTTTGAACGCGGTGAATGACGGCGATTTTATTCACTGCGGTAAGAAAGCAGCATCGTACGACACTGGTAGAAGAGAGATGAGCATGCTTTGTATGGTGTGGTATTTGCATGGCGTGTGTCTTATGAACACGCCTGCATCATTCCTATTCAGTAAAACAGTATTATTTGTTCTGGCTATGAGGTACGGGTCCCCGAGCATGCACTTTCGCATAGGACAAAATGACAATAGTGCATGCTTGTGTTAAATACTTGTACTGTCGTTACAAGCATATCATTGTCATCCGAGCTGTCAGCACTTTAACGAATGACATGGAGACGGTCATATCAGACGTATTGTAGTGACACTCATTTTTTTAACTGCATACCATCATTCTGATCGAGAGGCAATAACTTGTTGATAGTTGCGGCACGTACGTGTCGCACAAACCTACTTTATATGTTCATTCACTAAAGATCATCACGTTGAACAGCTGTTCACCAATATTTTATTGGCCTATATCGTAGGCCATTTCAGTGGTGAAAACTGCTAAAGTGGCTGCTTCCTTTAACGCATCTATAAAATTAGGCATAAATACCTTGTGAATGACGATTGCCCCAAGTTATAACATCATCGTTGTGCGACAGACACATCAACAGGCCAAATGGGTGGCCGTGGTACCGGCCGGAGCTACGTCTTGTCGTGGTTGAACGCAAGCCGCTTCCAGCGGCGCATCGCAATCCGATACCCGACAGAGATCTTCTTCTGGCTGGGCGCAGTGAACGCACAGCACACGTACTCTACCAACACCGTCAACTTGGCGGGCGCCTTACTCGAACCTGTGATCTACTACCCCGGCGCACCTGTCGCGTACAACTACGGAGGCCTTGGACAGGTATGCCGAAGCCACACAGTAAATGAGAAGAACTGACTAGACTTCTCAAGGGGAACGGCTCAGTATAAAACACTCGTTTAGTAGCTGCACGGTCAGAAAACGGCTGAAACGGAAACGGTCACCGACATTATTGCACACTAGAATACATAATAGACCGATCTCACCGCGAGTCGCTCTATGTCACCGCTGCCGCAGTGCATGCCGGTACTTGGAGTTCTGTACAGTCGCAATCTTTTGCAGAGGGAACATGGCAACACGTGGCTCTCGGAGCTCCCAGCGCTGTTAAGAGGCGGCAGCGAGAAGTATCGCTTATGCGCAGTGCGTCCAGGTGGCGAAAATTCTGCCATCGAGCGCATTACGTCACGCAAGCTAGGCGTGTCGTCTGCTGCACGCGCATGGCACTAGTAAAGCCGTGTGCCTCAATGTGGAAAACAATGTGTAACTTTCAATTACGTTCCACTCAATATACAAATAAACTTGAAAATATGTCATTAGGTGCGAAGCATTTCTTATCGAACTTCAGAGAGTTTGAGCGTAGCTATCTATCTAGCCGCTTACGCTTGGGTGCTCTCGTCGGCACCCTCTTAACTTGGCGTGAACCAAAATTAGCATGGGAGGTATAAGATGGTTTGACGAATATGACGCGCTAGTCAAGACATAAATATTGTCACAATCCCGTCGCGTACGTCATCAAACACTTCCCGCCAGACAGTCGCACATACCCACGGGCGGGTATGTGCCGCTGCTATGCGGGTATGTTCGAGAGGGGATCGACACTTAGTATGTATGCCCAGGAACGACGAGAACACACAAGGGAAATTTTAACGCGCCAGTGTTAAGAAATACCCGACATCGCTAACGTCGACCCGACGAATGCAAATAATAAGTGTCAGTTCCCAGCTGGAATCAAACCCAGGCATTCTGCTTGGCAGTGAAGCATCTTACCGCAGAGCTACGCCGTGTCTTGGAACTTTTTTTCAAATAGACACTAATCTTCGTAAAACGTCAATAGTGGTTGCAATGGTGCCTACCCAATTTTATAAACATTACATATGTAATCTTTTGATAGAGCCGTCACGTCGGGTTTACGTCCCTTGTGGTTATTTGTCATGCGCTCAAGTGGGTTTCTGTAGCAGTCGGCTAAGTCGGCTTGATCGGCTAAGTGTACAGGGCCAGCATTCTCGCGAGCATCACCGCTTCATATCAGCTTCTGGTGTTGCTAATACGCATGTTCCGGTTGGCATCATTGCGCGAGTGCAAACAATAATTATGTAAACAAATGCAACTCTTCAACAAATATCTGTGCGTGCAATATTTGTACATATATTGGTGGCATTTTATGACGTGTCGCTCAATAAAAAAATTGCAACATGGTCACCTTCCCTCCGCATGCCTTGCATAACGTCGATTCCCCGGTACGTGTAATCTGCCGAATTTTTTTTATTTTTTGCTGGATTTTTTTTTGTTCATCGTTGATTTTTTAGTGGGCGCTTTCTCCGATGCACATTTGTGTTCCAGCATACCTGGCGCTGGTGCACATTGTATGAGTATTGAACGAGCGCATAGAAAATCACTGGAGCACGATGCTCTTTTGGCAAGCTTGAGAATTTGTGAAAAGATGCCGGAATACACATGAAATTACCTGTGTTTGAAACCCTGTTTACGTGGGGACTGCGGGAAAAACGCAAGGTTCGCCAAGTGTGGCAGAATATTCGAGGTCGTCGTAACTTTGGGTCACTATTTTTTATACCTTCCAAAATGCCAGCAGTGCTTTTGTTTGTCAAAGAGTGACACGAGAAAATACAAGTGTAACATTAAGTGAAACTATTTCAGATTACTGACAGAACTTCAATAAACGTACCAGTCTTTAGTCAAACGTGCACCAAATGACAGTTTGGGTGTTTGCGTTCCATCACCTATTCATTGTCCTAGAAGAACGCAGAAAAAAGAAGAAATGCCGAAAACTGAGTGAAAC